TCAGACATCAATACATGGAAAATAAATAGTTTCTGGGCACGTAGCCTAACTTCCAAATACTGGCATAATATTATATATAATTTATCACTATATGTTCACATCAAAATCTGTAGAAAGATATACAAAACACAGTAAATTTATCACTTGTTCCTGGTGCCTGTACACACCAATAATAAACATAAGTATTATAAGTACTCTTGATAGTACTACACGGCAAACTGGTGCCTTACTGTGACACGGGTGAGACTTGCTCACGACATATATAATCCTCAGGCTAGATCATATAGCCGAATAATATAGCTAACTAAAGGGGAAATGGGGAGGGAAACTAGAAACACCTACTTCAACCTATCCTCCGATGAGAGTTGAGATGTAGCTCCTGGTCCTCGTGTCGGGAACGCCCCCACACACACGTTGTCGTGTCCTACCGGAACCTCTCGTCGTCCCACCGTTTAGCGCGTCGTCTCCGTGCCCTCTTCTCTGCAGGTCCGTTCTCCTTCTCGACTTCTGGTAGAGTCGGAGTCGGTCTCCTGGCCGTCGTCTTCTCCCAGCAACGGCGGCCGCCTACGTCTCAGCTGCAGTCGTCCGGATCCCCCAAATAGTCCTCTTCTTCCTCAGCTACCCAGTGGCTCTGTCAGCCACTACGCCGTCACGAACTGGTGAACTGCCACAGACGTCACATACGTCACTGCACAGGCTTCACTTCTTCTTCTTGCACAGTACCTGACTGGAGCACTTGTTGCTCAAATAACCGTCGATTCCCTCTCTGGTTCAACACATGAACTAGGGAAGACCTCTCAGAGTACCGGCAGACTTCAGGTGACGCGTAAATCCACGGGAGCGGGAAACAACTGTCAAACTGACAGGACCAATCGTCGCACGTCCAACCTCTTTGACGTGTCGTGTCTGACTGCTGGCGCCAGCGCGGCGCGTTGCCCGGACCCCCTTCCTTCGTGACGTCACTTTCGCCACGGGAGGTTTTCATTGGCTCCCGGTGCCACATTGCTGTCGGTGACCAATACGGTGCCACTGACGTCACACGGTTTTGGCGGGGAATCAGGAAGGCCAGCGCCATCTTGGCTTCCTAAAGGGCCTATACCACAGGCCAAAATATTACTATTTCACAAATTGCTCGGCTCTCCGAGAACACTCCACTCTCTCCCATATATCAAATTGAAGCCTGCTACGTAGAGAACGCTTGGGAAAAGTGGACATGACTCTTACTGCAGGCGTGGGAGAATTATAAGGGGGGGAACTCCGTCACAATATATATATATATATATATATATTATATATATTTATTTAAGCAGCGGTCTTTCTTGAAACATATGTTGTTGAATATGACCAAAAGGGTAAGATTAATGATTCTAACACGAATCTTCTCAATATTTCTTACGTTTCTTACGTCGAGGGTAATTGAAAAATTAACTCTCCAAAGAACATTTTTACCATTTATTTATGGTCTGACGCCTGGAAGCGTTTCACAAGACACTTCTTACATTTTTAGACAATTTTACATACTCTGTTCAATGCTTATTGAACAGTTCCACACTACACCTGGCACTCGTCAAGTGTCAGGTGTAGTGCCAGGTGTAGTGTGGGGTGTAGAGGCCCCAAGGGCCAGGTGTAGTGTGGGGTGTAGAGGCCCCAAGGGCCAGGTGTAGTGTGGGGTGTAGAGGCCCCAAGGGCCAGGTGTAGTGTGGGGTGTAGAGGCCCCAAGGGCCAGGTGTAGTGTGGGGTGTAGAGGCCCCAAGGGCCAGGTGTAGTGTGGGGTGTAGTGGCCCCAAGTGCCAGGTGTAGTGTGGGGTGTAGAGGCCCCAAGTGGCAGGTGTAGTGTGGGGTGTAGAGGCCCCAAGTGCCGGGTGTAGTGTGGGGTGTAGAGGCCCCAAGTGCCAGGTGTAGTGTGGGGTGTAGAGGCCCCAAGTGCCAGGTGTAGTGTGGGGTGTAGAGGCCCCAAGTGCCAGGTGTAGTGTGGGGTGTAGAGATATCAACCACCAGTCAATCACCAGTTCACAACACAGCCTCCTGGTGACACACACAGTGTGGTCATGTGTGTCCCAACATCAACACAGGACCCGCAACACTACACCAGCAATTATTAGTGACTCGCTCTAAACTAATTATGTTTGCTGCCCCTCAGCTGCTGTTGCTGCTGCTGTTGCCCCTGCTGTTGCTATGGCTCTAGACCCCACAACAGCTGTTGCTGTTGCTCTAGACCCCACAACAGCTGTTGCTGTTGCTCTAGACCCCACAACAGCTGTTGCTGTTGCTCTAGACTCCACAACAGCTGTTGCTGCTGCTGCTACTATTGCTGCTGCTGCTGCTGTTGCTGCTACTGTTGCTACTGCCGGTGATGAACATGACAGGGACAGAAGGCCTACTAGCCCCCCCCCCCCCATCACTAGGGCCACCTAGCCCAACCGTTCTCACCTCAAAAAAGACACCTTCTCATCTCCTCATGACAACAATACTAACTACAATACTCAACACAATATGAACAGGTCAACAATTCTTCAGATTCTGACTAATTCTGCTCATGAGAGAGCGCGTTAAGAGCGTTGAAAGTCGCACATTAAGCAACATAATGTAGTGAAAGTGAGTGAAGGTGAAAGGTACACTTGTGTCAATATGTTCATCAATGTTGACTCAACATTTTCACTTTCATGAGTATGTAATGAGTCACAGAGTCGGACACAAAACTGTATTATGAGGAGGTTGCAATAATTTATGGAATGCATACAAGAGTACGGTTTATAGTGATGACTGATGAGTGAGGTGATGACTGATGAGTGAGGTGATGACTGATGAGTGAGGTGATGACTGATGAGTGAGGTGATGACTGATGAGTGAGATGATGACTGATGAGTGAGATGAGAACTCATGAGTGAGGTGAGAACTGATGACTCCGTCAATGATGTAGCTGTTTCGTCGTCCATAGTCATGATATTATTTTGTTGATAACCTCACCACATAAACCAATAAGAATACTCCATAACAAAATATTAATAATATAATAATAATAATAATAATAATAATAATAACAACAATATTAAAATGCATAAGGAAATCACATTAACGTGACGCATCAGTGAACAAAAATCAGTTGAAATCATGGATTCGAACCTGCAGCCAGGGTACTGTGAAGCACACGCCTGACACCACTGAACCACGATATGCTATACCTAACCTGGGACACAGGTAAAGCCCCCTAGGGCCTAGGGGGGGCTAGGGACCTAGGGGCCTAGGGGCCTAGGGGGCCTAATGCTTGATTAAAGAGAAGCTGCGAGGGCCCCTAGAGCCTCGACCCGCAACCAGGGTGGAGGTAGGGAGGGAGGGAGACACAGAGATAAGGGCCACACTCCCTCCAGGAGACACATGTGTCTCCCTCCTGGAGAAACATGTGTCTCAAGACAATTATAAGAATGAAAGCCAGACAATTTAGGGTGTTGAGAGCCGCGGGAGGGAGGTACTACTTGTATGGTCAGGTGTGTGTACCTGTGTTGTGTGGCTACACTGTCAGGTGTGTGTGTATACCTGTGTTGTGTGTGGCTACACTGTCAGGTGTGTGTGTATACCTGTGTTGTGTGTGGCTACACTGTCAGGTGTGTGTGTATACCTGTGTTGTGTGTGGCTACACTGTCAGGTGTGTGTGTATACCTGTGTTGTGTGTGGCTTCACTGTCAGGTGTGTGTGTACCTGTGTTGTGTGTGGCTACACTGTCCAGGTGTGTGGGGGTGTAGGTGCCTCAGTGTCAGAGGAGGCCTGGCACTGACCCACCTGGAGTGTAGGGGTGCAGGGGAGGCCTGGCACTGACCCATCTGGAGTGTAGGGGGGCAGGGGAGGGCTGGCACTGACCCACCTGGAGTGTAGGGGGGCAGGGGAGGCCTGGCACTGACCCACCTGGAGTGTAGGGGGGCAGGGGAGGGCTGGCACTGACCCACCTGGAGTGTAGGGGTGCAGGTGAGGCCTGGCACTGACCCACCTGGAGTGTAGGGGGGCAGGGGAGGGCTGGCACTGACCCACCTGGAGTGTAGGGGGGCAGGGGAGGGCTGGCACTGACCCACCTGGAGTGTAGGGGGGCAGGGGAGGCCTGGCACTGACCCACCTGGAGTGTAGGGGGGCAGGGGAGGGCTGGCACTGACCCACCTGGAGTGTAGGGGTGCAGGTGAGGCCTGGCACTGACCCACCTGGAGTGTAGGGGTGCAGGGGAGGCCTGGCACTGACCCACCTGGAGTGTAGGGGTGCAGGTGAGGCCTGGCACTGACCCCACCTGGAGTGTAGGGGGGCAGGGGAGGGCTGGCACTGACCCACCTGGAGTGTAGGGGTGCAGGGGAGGGCTGGCACTGACCCACCTGGAGTGTAGGGGGGCAGGGGAGGGCTGGCACTGACCCACCTGGAGTGTAGGGGGGCAGGGGAGGGCTGGCACTGACCCACCTGGAGTGTAGGGGGGCAGGGGAGGGCTGGCACTGACCCACCTGGAGTGTAGGGGGGCAGGGGAGGGCTGGCACTGACCCACCTGGAGTGTAGGGGGGCAGGGGAGGGCTGGCACTGACCCACCTGGAGTGTAGGGGTGCAGGGGAGGTCTGGCACTGACCCACCTGGAGTGTAGGGGGGCAGGGGAGGCCTGGCACTGACCCACCTGGAGTGTAGGGGGGCAGGGGAGGGCTGGCACTGACCCACCTGGAGTGTAGGGGGGCAGGGGAGGGCTGGCACTGACCCACCTGGAGTGTAGGGGGGCAGGGGAGGGCTGGCACTGACCCACCTGGAGTGTAGGGGGGCAGGGGAGGGCTGGCACTGACCCACCTGGAGTGTAGGGGGGCAGGGGAGGGCTGGCACTGACCCACCTGGAGTGTAGGGGGGCAGGGGAGGCCTGGCACTGACCCACCTGGAGTGTAGGGGGGCAGGGGAGGGCTGGCACTGACCCACCTGGGGTGCAGGGGAGGGCTGGCACTGACCCACCTGGAGTGTAGGGGGGCAGGGGAGGCCTGGCACTGACCCACCTGGAGTGCTGACAGAGACGGTCGAGGGCGGGCCCGTGCGGGAAGGAGTAGCCGGGTGGGAAGCCCTGAGCGTGGGAGTTGTCAGACCACATCCTCCCGACCCTGTAAACAACACATTAATGTTAATGTGGGTAATGGTCCCCCACCATGGTCCCCCCCCAGAGGGTCCACCCCCACCATTGTCCCCCACCTTGGTCCCCCCCCACCATGGTCCCCCACCATGGTCCCCCAGTGTGTCGACCCACACCATGATCCCCCCCAGTGTGTCGACCCCCCACCATGGTCCCCCATCATGGTCCCCCACCATGGTTCCCCAGAGTGTCGACCCCCACCAACACCACCATGGTCCCCCCCCCCCCCTCCCAGAGGGACGACCCCCACCCACCACAAGTCTCGGAAGCATTACACAAGCCGCGTAAATGGACCAACTTCGTGTGAATAGGAAGAGGAAAGCGATCTAGACTTTCCTTCTCTCTTTATCTCTCTCTTCTCTCCCTCTTATCTTTACCTCCCTCTTCCCTCCCTCCCACTCTCTTTCCGTTTATCTCTCTTTTTTCCAGCTGGAAAAGCCTCTCATATATGACCTTTAGCGCCAAAAGTCGTTTACGAAATATATTTTCATTTCATATTTTGCAGTTATTTCCTGAGAACATTTGTCATTCAATATCTTATTGCAGGATTGCATATATATTATATATGAAATAATTTTATAATTCATTCTCAGCGGCATAGCAAGCTCAAAAAATTATATATAGATTATATATAGATGCCTAGGGGACCATTCAGGCTTGTTCGCATACATATATAATATATAAAACTAGGGTAATACAAATGGCGAAAGATAACTAAATATTAAAGCAGGTTTGATTTATTTATCCTGGGCTTATATTATCCAGAAATCTCTGCAGTGTGAGATATGAGAGGAAAAATTAGATATTCCGGGCCATATCTGCCTTAATCAGGCCATTACCCAAATTAGATTACTTTGTCCCCGGCCGTTACGCTCTAAATGTGTAAAGTCCGCCTAATGTTGGTCCGCTCAAGCTTTTAATGTCTTGCTAAAGTTGTGATATACACAGTGATGCACGTGTAGCAAAGCTTAGCTCATACACACACGTGAGACAATCACGTGTGTGTGTCAGATAAGCTTTCACTTCACAAGGGTAGATGAATGAAACATATTAACATATTCAGGTCGCACGGATCAGTATACGGAGGGAAAGAGGCCAGAATTATGAAATTCTGGTCCGCTGGTGATGTGTTGAGTACACATGTGTAAATATGTTAATACCCGCGCTTGCTGAGCCGCTGAGCATGGGCACAGCTACAGTGGAACGCCACGACCAAAATATAATTTTTTTACAAAGTTCATATTTAAATTTCCGGTTTGAGGTTGCGGGCTCTGCCCGGGTCTCTCTTCTCCCTCACCTTTATCCTCCTCCTCTTCCCTTCTCTCCTCTCTCTTCTTCCCTCCTCCTTCACTCTGTCTCTGCCTCTCCGCCATCTATTATCTCACTTCTTCTGGCTTTCCTTCTCCACTTCTCCTTCTTTCTCCATCTCTCCTGCTCACCCTTTCTTCCCTTCCCCTCTCTACCAATATGACCTCTCACCCCGTCTTTCTTCTCTGCAAAAGGAAGAAAAACAAAAGCAATAATCATTCTATTTTGCTGTGTGTGTATATATATATATATATATATAATATAATATGTCGTACCTAGTAGCCAGAATGCACTTCTCAGCCTACTATGCAAGGCCCGATTTGCCTAATAAGCCAAGTTTTCATGAATTAATGTTTTTTTTCCCGACTACCTAACCTACCTAACCTACCTAACCTAACCAAACTTTTTCGGCTACCTAACCTAACCTATAAAGATAGGTTAGGTTAGGTAGGGTTGGTTAGGTTCGATCATATATCTTCGTTAATTTTAACTCCAATAAAAAAAATTGACCTCATACATAATGAAATGGGTAGCTTTATCATTTCATAAGAAAAAAAATTGAGAAAATATATTAATTCAAGAAAACTTGGCTTATTAGGCAAATCGGGCCTTGCATAGTAGGGTGAGAAGTGCGTTCTGGCTACTAGGTACGATATATATATATATATATATATATATATATATATATATATATATATATATATATATATATATATATCGTGTATCGTGATCCAGCCTGTACTCCTCTTGACATGCCAGAAAGTATTCTGAGGAAACTACTCCAAGCTTGTACTAAAGAGGCACCCTTCTTGAGCCCGGATGGGCATATGTATAAGCAAGTAGATGGGGTCACTATGGGTTCTCCCCTAGGTGTCCTGTTTGCAAACTTCTACATGGGTACCATCGAGCAAAAAGTCTTAGTCGACATGAACTTGAAACCGGCCATATACTGCAGGTATGTTGACGACATTTTTACACAGGTACCTGATGTCAGACATCTGCAGGAGCTGAAGGAGGCATTTGAGCAGAGTTCCGTGCTGCGTTTCACTTACGAGACGGAAAAGGATGGGAAGCTGCCTTTTCTAGATGTAACAGTCATGGAAAAGGGCGGAGGTTTCCACACTGCAGTCTACACAAAGGAAACAAACATAGGAATGTGCCTAAATGCCAACAGCGACTGCCCTGACAGGTACAAGAGGAGTGTTGTTAACGCATACGTCGACCGTGCTCTCAGCCACAGCTCAGAATGGAAGCAAGTCGACGAAGAACTCTGTAGGGTAAGGCAGGTTCTAGTCAATAACGGCTTCTCCAATGGTTTCATCGAAGACATCATAAGAAGGAAAGTGAAAAGCCATGCAACCTCTGAAGAGACAACTAACACAACACCTATACCCCCTATTAGACTATTTTACAGGAACTTCTTTTCCACAGCTCATAAAACAGAGGAAAGGGTCCTGAAAGATATTGTTAATAGAAACGTTATCCCTACAGACAAAAATCAGAGGATACAACTGACGATTTACTATAAAACCAGAAAAACGGCCAGCCTACTCATGAGAAACTCTCCAGACACGAAACAGAACGCTTTAAAAGAGACTAACGTCGTCTATGCCTTCAAATGCCCACTTGGGGACTGTAAGCTCCAAAAAACCCAGTATATAGGCAAGACAACAACATCTCTTTCTAGGCGTTTAACGATGCATAAACAACAGGGCTCCATTAAGGAACATATAATCTCTTCCCATAACCAAACCATCGCCAGAGAAATCCTAGTAAACAACACAGAAATCATCGATAGATACAGCGATAGCAGGCGGCTTGACGTTTGCGAGGCACTACACATCAAGAAGTCAACACCAGCAATCAACAGCCAATTATTGCACAACTATATTCTACCCACCTCAAGACTCCGCTCCAATATAGAAGCATCAAGAAATATGGACCAATAGGCTTTCTACAAACACTTCTATTCAATATCCATTGTTTCGTGTTCTGTCTTGTGTTGATACTTTTAATACCCTATTAATATCCTCTAATGCCACATCATCCTTCCCACCTCACTCAAATGTAATGCCACATCACCCTTCCCACCTCACTCAAAAGTAGATATAAAATCAGGGAAATGCAAGTTCTAATCAGTTGTGTATTTGTGAAGTCTTTGAAAATGTAATAAGTTTTACGAAACGCGCCCGTGTCGCGTCAGACTAGAAATAAAAATGAATTTTGGAGAAGTGATTTTTGATTTACCTCCAACAGTGAAGCATAATGTACGAAAGATTGAGAAAATTCGTGTTAGAATTATTAATCTTACTTTTTCGGTCATATTTAATAAAATATATATATATATATATATATATATATATATATATATATATATATAGAAGGAACAATAGAATATGAAAAATGGACAAAAACGGGAGACTAGTATTATACATCAGATTTTTGTATCAGATTGATGAGTATTTCGAATTACCAAAAAAATATATATAAAAAATTTACAAGCCAGAAATTCCTGGGCAAAAATATATTAAAAGTTTTTGAAAGCGCCGACAAAGGTTTCTTGATAATATGAAATATGTCAAAGGATTTTAACATGACAGAGTTCAAGAGACAACAGGATATGTTGTCTCACAGTTGACATGTGTGTGTATGGTGGTGTGTATACTTGCATGCGTTTTTATATTAGTATATTTTGGTAGCAGTCTTTCTTGTAAACATGTGTTGTTGAATATGACCAAAAAGGTAAGATTAATAATTCTAACCCGAATCTTCTCAATATTTCTTATGTTTTTCTTCACTGTCGGTGGTAATAAAAATAACAATTCTCCGAAATTCATTTTTTAATTGTCTGACGCCTGAACGCGTTTCGTAATTCCTATTACATTTTCAAAGACTTAATTTACACGCAAATTCTTCGTACTTATACTCTATTGGATGAGGTGATATGGTACAAAAGTTTTGGGTGAGGTGACAAACACAAGACAGAACACGAAACAATAGGTATAAATTGGATAAGTTAACATATGAATGGAAGTAACTACAGAAGGCCTATTGGCCCATACTTCCTCTTGCTCCTTCTATATTGGTTCGGGATCTTGAAGTAGGTAGAATATAGTTGTGCATTAATTGGCTGTTGATTGTTGGTGTTGACTTTTTAATGTGTAGTGCCTCGCAGATGTCGAGTCGCCTGGTATCGCTGTATCTATCGATGATTTCTGTGTTGTTTGTTAAGACTTCTCTGGTGATGGTCTGGTTGTGGGAAGAGATTATATGTTCCTTGATGGCTCCCTGTTGCTTATGCATTGTTAGTCGTCTAGAAAGAGATGTTGTCTTGCCTATATACTGAAATCTTTGGGGCTTACAGACAAACCCACCCACCTGTTAACTACCCCCACCTGTTAACTACCTATTTTTCATTTACAATTCAATACATTTTAGTTCATTGGGTCCCATTACTTTGATGAATTAGTTTACCATCGCTTCTCTCCCTCTCCCTCATGCGTCATGCCTCATGCGTCATGCCTCATGCTTCTATATTAAGGCCAGAATGGGGAGAGAATTCATTTCCAATTTCATTTCACATATTCACTGAAAGAAGCGGTAAATGCCTTTATTTCCGGCCAATGGCTGCATCCACTTTACCCGTAACTCATCCAGAAAATT